GAGACCACAACTCCAGTGCTGAAAAGTCTTACATTTCACAGTTAACAAATGATTAATATAAAATTATTAAACTGCGCAAATACCCCACCCTAATCGTGTACAGAGCAGCAAAACACACCAAGAGTATATCCCCTTGGGTCATGCACGTGATCTGATCTGAGCATGGACAGGATTATATATGTTGGCCATGTATTGTCCCCCTATAATTAAGGGGTCAAAGGATCTGGTAAGCCTCTAATTTGATATCACGGTGGTGCAAATTCATGTTGGTGGTTATACTGGAATGAAGAATTTTCATCATTCATCACAGAAAAAAGGGGACTGTTCTATACACTTTATAAGGACTTTTTTATTTTTGTTTATTTAATTGATTCATTTTGTGGCCATGGTTCACTTTTGAGCACTTTTTCATTTATCCTTTATTGGACATACATTATTTGTATATTATTCAGGAATTTTTTTAGGTATTTATATTTCACTAAGCACAACACAAGTTTTTTTAATTAATTAACAAATGATGTTCCATTATGAAAGGTCCTTAGTCAAATAATGTTCAGTGCTGAAAAAATCCCATCCAAATCTTTCATGAATAAACAATAATGAAGAAAGTGTGATATTCGTTTCTGGAAAGTCCCTTATAGGCCTTCACAACAAAAAAAAAACTGATGGTGACTCAATCCACTACACTCTCACAAAGTGTCAGTGGATAAAAATGTACTTTTTTGCTGGACCTCTAAATTATAAATGGCCTGAATGCACCTTTCAGCCCCTACAATGGGCTGATGGACATAACTGGCCCAATAGAGTACTTTTTGTTTACTTTTTGTCACTTTCTTAAAGGTTAACTTGTACTGTTTCATAATTTCACATGCAGCTTTAAGGCAACCCCCAAACATGTTATTTAAAAGATTTGTGTCATTTCAATGTTATCCGTAAAAGACCATTTACCTGCTAAATGGCATTTTTTAAATGCCTTTGCATTGGAATATGTTCCCCAAGTCAGTTCTCAAGTATTCATGTCTTTTCAAATATTTGCAAATTTACCTTGACATAAGCCTGAAAAAATAGCAAACTTCTGCTCTTAGAGACTATAATAGAGTTCAGTTATGTTCAGGGTTTGCAGACATTATATAATAATTATATTTTATTTCTTTTTGCTCTAACATTTTTTATTTTGGGGCACTCAGCATACACTTGATGCTTACAAAACAGTTTCCTTTTGTTTGCAACACTTCACAGCATTCTTGTGCAATATGACACCAAGACACCACAGATTATTTCCTCTTATTGTCGTAACTGACAATAAATTTAGCCAATCCCCGTTATTAAGAAAAAAATGTCCAGCAGGTCTCAAGTGAGAGGAATACTTTCTGCATGTGGAATTGGTAAGGCACAAACAGGCTTAGCAGGACAAAGTGGTGGTCAGATGGCACCATTTAGGGCCAAGTCATATCTGCCTTTTATGTCTCAGAGTGACCACACTATACACCCACAGCACACACTAATCCTGCCATTGCCTTGAAAACTGGCTATGAGGAGTTTGACAAATTATTTGATCAAACAATCACTGACTGCAGAATGATGGCCTAGGTCACACAGAATCATTCCTCCTTTTAGCTATTGAGGTTGAAGAGGAAATGTCCTTTGACTATAGAAGGAATGGTGGGTTTCAGGCAGGGCAGGAAGCAGCAAGTAACAATGATGTTCCAGCAGCTGGAGCTTACAGTGAAGTGGATGATGAGGTGGAAGACTGTCTATGGGTGCAACCAAATGGAGCGGTGGAAAGCTTTAAGGGATTGACAAAACAGCAGTGACAGCTGATTTTGTCCAGTGGCAGGGACAGCTTACAGAGGACCGGAGGGAGTAGCCATCCTAACCTACCTGGCAACACTGCCCCACAATAAACTGTTATACCCAGGGCTGATCCACAGAGTTCTACAATAGGGGGCTTTTGTAATGTATCTGCTGGTGACAACCCTGTTGTGGTCTGCAGCTTCTGCCTGCAGGTTATCAGTAGTGGTAAAAGTACCAGCCATATGGGTAACACATGCATGAGAAAGCATAACTCTACACCACAGAACTCAGTGGGAACAGTACTGCAGTGAGAAAAAATGGCAGAAAAGGGTCCACAGTCATCCTCCTCTTCCTTGTTCTTTTCTTTCTGCATCCCCCTCCACAGCATTCTTCTGCTGCATTCACAAGGTTTCTAGTGATAGGGAGGGAAGTCTTACAATCAGTTTCTGAGTCAAGCAGGGAAAATGACCATGGGGTTGCACTGAAAAGGGTCAAGCAAAAGCTTTACAGAATTCTCCTACACCCACTCCACCTTCTCCAGCAGCATCCTTCTCTAGGCAGGTGTCTCATTTGCATCTGCAGCAGAAGAAAAAATGTCTTCAACTTAACCCCATGACCAGTGTCTTAGATCCAGCTTGGTAAAACTGTTGTCTTTGTAGCTGCTCCCATCTCACTTCCACCAGCACATGTACTGTATTGTAGTGTTTCTGTGTCATTGAACAATGTTGTCAGTGGCAGGGTACACATTACCACGAACACATGTCCCAGTAAGCATTAGAAGGAGCGCTACATATCCTTTATGGCACACTGAGTACATCTTCTGGTGGCTGGGAAGGATGCAGGTTGGGGGTGCCATACTGGAGCTGGTGGTGCCATCATGTTTCTTGCCCAATGGTGACAGAGCAGTAACCTGTACCTCGCCCAAGCCATATTCTCCTTCTTCTTTACCTTCTCCTCCTGCTCCTACTCCTCTCCTGCTTCTCTTTTTTTCTCCTCCCCTCCGTCCTTCCACCCTTACTTTCTCTACCCCCTACTCCCTCTATGTGATTATGCCATAGGAGAGTTGGGGTTTTTATTCACTCTACCAGCATCTCTTCTTCTATGGTGCCTGCACTATTTTGTTTCCATTTGCAGAAGCCACTAAAATGATGAGTTGTGATAAAGCAGGAAATAGTGACAAAATTGTTCTTCATAGAGCACACAATATCTTCATAGATTGTTTTCATTAAAAAAAACACTGCAAATCCTTTAGTTAGCACAGAGTTTCTGGCCTGGGTGGATCCATAATAACATGTTCCCACCTGCTATAACATTTTTTTGTTACTATTTGCATTATTTGCATTTTTTATTTATTTCCATTGACCCTGCCCAGAACACTCAAATTAAATTTAAATATCAATTTAAAGACTTTAACCTATCACTGGCAGGTCCGTTCACCATACTGACCTAACAGAAAGAGGTTTTATACACAACTACAGACACTGGAATTGTGTATAAAACTGACAGGCAGACTGTCATATGGAAGCAGTTGGGTGGCTCTGTTGCTGCCGATTGCTTCCACAGCCTACAGAGACGGTGCCCCCACGTGGGAGCACTCTCACCATGTAACTGGGTTCTGCTGCCATAGCAGGTGCTGGTGGGTGGAGGGGAGAGAGGACAAGCATTCGTTCCCTTCCCCTTTATTGTGTGAGCTGGAAAGCGACGACCATGATGTCACATCCAGGTCACGGCTGTTACTTTTCCGGCTACAATAGCCTGGGAAAGATGTATTGCAATGAGGTTTGCATTGCAATACATCTAATGGATCACAGAAGAGACATGCAGTGTCTTTTAGACCCCGCGTGTCTCAATAAAGAGAACCTGCCACCAAATAAAACCATTGCATAAGGGACTTTGTGTCCCCTATGTGATGAAAAAAAAAGTGAAAAAAACACCCAAGCATATAACATCCCCGCCAAAAAAATTTGAGCACCTCCCACCCCCACATGTACGCACATACAAACATAAACATGCACGGCGGGCCGCCCACTCATGAAAACGTCAATTGTGATACACGTTACATATCACCATGCAGGCCTGAGTGAGAGCAATAATTCTGACACCAGACCTCCTCCGTAGCATAAAACTGATGACCTATAGGGGCTTTTGAAGTACCATATATAGAAAATATAGGGTACTGAAATTTGATGCAATTTCATAGGTGCACACAAATTTAAGGTTTGGCATGTAGGATATCTAATTACTTGGCACAACCTAATCTGTTGTATTTTACCAAAAATGTTTGTATTTTATTGTGTTTGTTTGCCCTATAATTCATTTTAGTGTGATTTTACTGAAATTTTGCAATAATATCATGCGACATAAAAAAAAAAAATTGGAACTACCACAGTTTTATTCTCTAGGGTGTCTGCTTTCAGAAAATATATAAAGTTTGGGTGTTTTGCATGATCTTCAGGCCTAAAATTATTTTTTAAACATGTGCAAAAAATGCAAAAACAGCTATGGTAGCAAAAGGGTTAAAGAGCTTCAACTGAAAATTGTGTTTTGTTTGCAGTAGGTTAAAAAGGAATGTGAACCCTGTACTCTGTTTAATCAGCTGTTAGAAATAAAAGAATAACATGCTTGGATAAAGTGCCCCTAAATCATACTTGGATAAGGACTCTTATGGAAAAGTTTTGGTCAACAAAAACATTCACTGCATCTCCTCTCAAATTTTTTAGAAAATCCCTGGCCTTGGCAGCATCACAGCAACATATTCCAATTTTTTAAAAACATTTTTATTCCCATACTTACAAATTTTAAATGCAAATTCAGGCCACTAAGAGACTGAGCCAGCCGCTCCTTCCCCCTCCACAGCCCAGTGCTCCAGTGAGCACTGGAGGGGAGAGCACAGAGCTGGCAACTGATAGTCATCACTCTCTGCTTAGTGAAGACCAAGAATTAAATGATTAGCTGTCATTTGATCACTCAGCTCTTGGTCTTAGAACTGGTATCCATCTAAGTATGTATGTTTATTTTTTCCAATCCCACATTTCTCCTTTAACCACTAGCCTACAGGGCACTTATAACCCCTTCCTGCCCAGGCCAATTTCCAGCTTTCAGCGCTGTCACACTTTGAATGACAATTGCGCGGTCATGCAACACTGTACCCATATGACATTTTTATAATTTTTTTTGTGACAGATAGAGCTTTATTTTGGTGGTATTTAATCACCTCTAGGTTTTTTTTTTTTCTTAAACAAACCAAAAACCACTGAAAATTTTGAAAAAAAAAAAAACGTTTTTGTTATAAAATTTTGTAAATAAGTGATTTTTCTCCTTCGCTGATGTGCGCTAATGAGGCTGTAGTGATGGGCACTGATAGGCTGCACTGATAGGGGGCACTGATGAGGAGGCACTGGTAGGTGGCCTGATGGGCATTGACAGGCATCAATGAAAGGCAGCACTCATATATGGCACTGATAGGCGGCACTGATAGGCAGCACTGACTGGCACTGATAGGCGGCACTGATAGGCAGCACTGACAGGCACTGATAGGTGGCACTGACTGGCACTGTTTGGGGCACTGAACGGCACTGATAGGCAGCACTGATGGGCACTGATAGGCGGCACTGACTGGCACTGACTGGCATTGATAGGTGGCACTGAAAGGCAGCTCAGATGGGCACTGATATGTGGCATTGATGTGCATTGGTAGGCACTGAAATGTGGCACTGGTGTGGCACTGATGGCACTGGCAGGTGGCACGGATGAGCACTGAGAGCTGGCACTGATGGATACTGACAGGTGGCACTGCTGGGGCTACACAGATCATCAGGGCACACTGATCATCAGTGCTCTGATGATCAGTGTGCCTGTCCCCTCCGAGGAATGCCGATTACCAGCTCTCCTCTCCTCACGAGCTGTCAGCGTGACAGCTCATGAGGAGAGAAATGCCGATAACCGACATTTCCCTGTTTACATGTGATCAGCTGTGATTGGACACAGCTGATCACATGACCGAGCCGACATCTTCGGCTCTTTCCATTAATTGGTGATCCGCTGTGTCCGAGGGACACAGCGCACCGCCGATTGCCACGCATTTGTGGTTAGAATGGGAGGACGTCATATGACATCCTCCCAGAACGAGAGAACCACCTTGCGCTCGTCATTGTACTATATGGCGGGCGGGAGGCGGTTAAGGAAAAAAATAGCTAAGGTGTTGACAATTGAAGAGCTAGCTATCATTCAGTTTTGCAGAAAGATATTGGTCCTTAAATGTATATTGGGTGTAAAGATCTCTGCGCACAGGCAGGGCTCATAAGAAAAAGTATCAAAGCTTTAAATTCAATAAAGCTCAAACATAAGGTTGTTAAAGTCGATGTAAACCCAAACACTAAATTGATTATATAAGCTTTAACATGATATAATTTGAAAAGCCTAATTTTCTTTTAATCACTATCTTTCATGAAAATAACAGATGGTAATGCTATATAAAGGTCCTTGTTTGGGCACATTGTGTTATAGGGAGACAATGCTCGGTTTGTCCTGTATCCTAAAATCTCCTGCTTATAAATCACCCTGTCACATTAAAAAGAAAACTATAAGCTGCTGTTCTGATTTGCAATGCCCCGGCATATTCCACTGTCAACTAAAAAGGTAGCAAGACATCAGCAGAATTGAGACATAACAAAGGATGACATAAGGTAAAAACCCTTCCGTCCCCATGCCGGTGAGTTCTCTAAGACGCACAGCATATTGCTACCTTCATGACATTCAGTACTTCTACTTTAATAGACATTCCATTGTCTGCAAGCCCTACGATAACCACTCCCTATACAGTTTCTGAGCAGCTCTCCCTATATTTTCTCTATCACTAAACAAGAAAATTGTCAACATGGCTGATGTGTCCTAACCCTTTTACAGTGTGGGGGATGGCTTACCAAAGAGCCTTCTTATTGGCCCTTCTAATCCAGCTGACCTAAGTTTAAAGGCAAGGTAGTGCATTATGGTTACAAAGAACTTAGTCTTACACGTTTCCACATTAGGTTGAACATGCCAGGTCCACCTTGAACCCCTGATGGCAACAAGCCTGAACCGTATCCCTAAGCAGTATCAGCATATAACGTCAGCAACCTTTTTCTCTTTTTTTCCCTCATTGACATATAAGCATTTTGTAGTTTGAAGCTCAAAGCTGCAAAACACTCAAACGCGTCAGCCATTTTGGATTGTCCATTATTCTCAACACCATTCAGAAACGCAGTGCGAATTAGACAGAGCGGTCTCACATGATTTGCTTATATTCATGTACTTTTCTTTTAAATTTAATACATATATTTTTAAAGGTAATGCACAAGGCCAGTGCGCCCTCTGTTTTGTTTTTCTCTATACATACCAAACTGAGCATGTGCAGAGTGACTCCACACAATATGTCTTATCAGGAGATAAGAGGGGGACACTGGAAGAAGGGGTGGATCAGAGAAGTCAGGATTACAAAGCGGTTTTAGACAATGCAGAGGATGAACCCCTTAGGTTCCACAGTGAGTATAACAAGCATGCTTTACTGCATATACAGACTGATTTTACTGTTGTGGGTTTAGTAACACTTTAATGTTGATAGTTTTGACGTTTCATTTAACTTCTAATCAGGATTTTGTTATATGTCCTGTTTGGACTGCCCAGGTTTTGGCATATTTACATTAAATTCGAATTTTACATTTTTTTTGCATAGAACTGAACATTATTTCCATATTTTTTGTCTGTGCCCTATCTATCTATCTATCTATCTATCTATCTATCTATCCATCTATCTATCTATCTATCTATCTATCTATCTATCTATCTATCTATCTATCTATCTATCTATCTATCTATCTATCTATCTATCTATCTCATCCATCTATCTATCTCTCCACCTATCTATCTCTCCATCTATCTACTTCTAGCATAAGAGTAAGAAATAGTACTTGATTTTTACTCAGTGTGTGACGTGACTATTAATAAAGCTCACTTTTCTTGCTGACCTGCTATAATTGCATGTCATATCTGGATTTCTCTGTGTTTATTTCCTTGAATAGCGTGTTGATTAATGCAGTTGATTTAGCTGCAGTGCATGGGAGTTATATGTATGTATGTATGTATGTATTTACTGTGGCTTCACCAAAAGCATATACTGTACGTCACTATAGTTTTAACTCAGTAGAACAATATAAAATTAAGAAATCATAATTAATTATTAAAAACAGGAAGGAGCACATAATTTACACTGTATCTCAGTAAGAAGGCATTCATAGAGGGTTGTTAAAAAGTAATGAGGATGCAGGTAAGGGGAAAAAGAGAACACGTTTTATTTAAATCTGCTAATGGTGTATTTTCTAATGGTTTTCATCATATGCTGCATTAGAAAATCATGGTACTGTATAGAATATTTAAAGGCACACTCCCCCATTCTCTACATTTCCTCAGTAATCTGAACCTCCTCACACCCACAACAGGCCAGTTTACATAAAGGATTATTTGATTATTAACCCTTTCACACCTAAGGGTAAAACAAGTCTTAACCACTTGAGCTCCAGAGGATTTACCCCCCTTAATGACCAGGCCTCTTTTTTCTACTCGGTGCTGCACTAATTCAACTGATAATTGCGCGGTCATGCAATGCTGCACCCAAACAAAATTTACGTCCTTTTTTTCACACAAACAGAGCTTTTTTTCGGTGGTATTTGATCACCTGTGCGCTTTTTATTTTTTCACGCTATAAACAAAAAAAGGCCAAAAATTTTGAAGAAAAACAATATTTTTTATTTTCAGCTATAAAAAATATATAGTAAACTCAAAGTTGGTTATAAATTTAGGCCAAAATGTATTCTGCTACATGTTTTTGGTAAAAAAAATCCCAATGAGTGTATATTGATTGCTTTTTGTGGAAGTTATAGCGTCTACAAACTATGGTATAAATACTGCAATTTACGCCACTTTTTTGCTATACAGCGCTGCGCTAGTTTAATGGACAATTGCGCGGTCATGCAATATGGTACATAAATTAAATTTACATCCTTTTTTTCCCCACAAATTGAGCTTTCTTTTGGTGGTATTTGATCGCCTGTGCGGTTTTTTATTTTTTGCGCTATAAAAAAAAAAGGCTGACAATTTTGAGGAAAAAAAAAACAATATTTTGGACTTTTTGCTATAAAACATGTCCAGTAAAAAAAAATGCAAAAATCAAATTTAGTCATAAATTTCTGCCAAAATGCATTCTGCGACATGTCTTTGCTAAAAAAAAAAAACCCAATACGTGTAAATTAATTGGTTTACGTGAAAGTTATAGCGTTTACAAATGGCGGGATAGATACTGGGATTTTTAGGGGTTTTTTTTATACTGATAATGGCGGCGATCAGCGAATTTTGGCGGCGATCAGGGACTTATGGCAGCAACCAGCGACTTATGGCGGGACTGTGGCAGACATTTTGACATTGGGGGGTACTGACTTGGGGTCACTGACATCTCCAAAAACACTAATACAGTGATCAGTGCAAAAAAAAAAAAAAAAAAACTGACACTGTACTAATGGCAATGGGGAGGAAGGGGTTAACTTTATTTTGCAGGGAAGGGTTATAGGAGTGAGGGGAGTGTTTTACTAGGGGGCGGGGGGGGTGTACTGGGCGGGACAAGGCTGATCGAGAAAGGGAAACCGTTCTTTCTCGATCAGCTCATCCTCGAGCTGAGAAGGAAGTGACAGACAGCACAGCTACTGCAGCTGTGCTCTCTGTCACTGTTTGCCGCCGATCGCCGGGACATAGCCGCTAAGGAGCGGCTGTGACCCGGAGACTGACATCTGCGGTGGTGATCCGCGGGACAAATAGGGCAGGCGCGCGCCCCCTATTTGTTTACAAAACACACGTCTTAAAACGTGGTTTTGCCTGTGAGTGCCGCCCTGCCGCCATATATGTACAGTGGCTGGGCGGCATGCGGTTAATGCCTAAGTAAAATTTTGATGTGCTAGGAAATCGTACATATCGTCACAACTACTTTGTGTATCTAGGTGGATTATACCTTGTTTTTTTTTTTCAGGACAAATTGGGCTTTCATTTTGTGGTAAATGATAATGGATATCTCCAGATGTTTTATTATCAAAGGAGAACTGGCTCAAAATAGTAAAAAATTTATATTTTTTTAAATTTAGCTCTATGTTTCTTGTAACTACCATAACCAAAGAACAACCCCAAATAAATTATCCAGCTCATATGTGTATGTTATTTGTTTGTACTCGTAGTACAGCCTAGAAACAATAATGCACATTTTGCTTTTTGTTTTGCCCTACCTAAAATACTGTCACTAACTGACAGTGATGCTAATTTTTAAAAAAATAAATAAAAAAAAAATCCTGACCTTTGACCCTGACCTTGACTTAAATATTAACCCTGGCACAGACCTAGATCAAACCTTGATCTAGGTATTTTTTTCGTAATTTTTTATGTTCTGTTTTAATATTTCTTTTTCTTTGTTTTTTACACACTGTTGCTGTTTATTTTCTCTCTGCATGGATACATATATACAATGTATCTCTCTCCTCCATTCAGAGGGAAAGAAAATATGGGGGTGGGCTTCATGGTTACTGATCACTGTGATAGACAAATCAGAGGCTATCACAGCGATCAGGTAACCCAGAATCAGAAGTTCTAGGTCCCAGTCACTAGCACAGGACCCGTGGCTCTCTCCCAGCATAAAGACAGATACACAAATATGCGGCCCCGCGGAAAAAAGCCCAATTCTGTGAGGCCGCATATTTGTGTGATATTGGCACCAAGGGGTTAATATTGGGGTCTTTTCCAGACTGTATTTTAAACTGCTTAATTTTCTAATAATGAATACTTTTTATTTGAGCTCTAAATTTTCCTAATGTGATAATGAAAATGTTGTTTTCCTTTTTATTGCTTTTAGTTGAATTATTCTGTTCTTTGTAGATGACTGATCACCCAATTTGAATACTTCTAAACAACTTCTCCAA